TAAAAAAAAAAAAGTAGAAGGCAGAGTGTCCGATTGCTTTTAAGACAAACCTTGAGGATATTTTGCCTTTTGGAGGGCCACCCGGCTCTTTATCTCAGGTCCCCAGAGATGTGTTTTTACCCCTGCCGTCCAGAGTGCTGCCTGGCGGGTCCCTGCACCGCTTTCTGGGGCCTTCTCTGCCTTCACGGAGCTCAGTGGCTCCCACCCAAAACCTCTTGCCCAAAAACCTCTTCCTTTTCTCCCAGGGGCCCCATGTTGTAGATTTTGGCCACCATGCCAGGCCTCCCTTTAATTATCAGGTCACATCCTGGGAGGCTTCCTTTCTCTTGGGGGGTCTCTGAGTCCAGTGGCTCTGATTACACCATTCAGTCAACCAGTCATATTTCAGAAATCCTGATAATGTCGTCAGGGACCAGTCAGCTTGTCAGCATTCCGCAGGCCCAGGGCCTGGCACGATCCCAGTGGGAAGCGGCTGTGTGGTGTGAGGGCCTGGTGGCAGAGGGGCGGGAGGTCCCCAGAGGCCTTGGGGATCTCCCATCCTCCCCACCCCTCTGGCCGACAGGACAGGGGGCCTCAGAACAGTGGACACAGCAGCCCGTCTGTATTTCTTCCTAGGCTGCTGCGGGGAGAGCATTCCAGCCATTCCGAAGGATGGATGGCTTCTTAGCAGCCTGAACTTGGAGGGGCTGCTACTGAAAGAATGGCCCACAAGCCGGCCCGCAGCTGCCCCTTTGACCCGGAAGGCGTTACTCGGGAAATACCCGAAGAAAGTAGCAGAAGGGTCCCCCTTGTCCCCCTTTAGGGACCAGACTTGAGTTTCTGTCGAATTTCCCAAAGCCTCCAAGCCGTTTGCCCCCACGGTTGGTGATCTTCGAGGTGATCTTCCCAACCTCAGCCTCCGTGAGGCCCCCGGCCCGTCCGCACAAAGGAGCACTGCTCAAGCTCACTGCCGGCTGGGTCGGAGCCTAAACACCCTGAAGACCGGCCCGTCCCCAGTCACTGTCGCAATGATTTTATCTTGGCCTCACCAGCAGCCCTGCACAGGGCCCCCTTTCCCCACACCCTCACCACCACTGGGCCGCATCCCTGGCCCAGTGTGCTCGTTTGATTAGTGGGAAACCGTGGCATCAGTGACGTTTCATTCAGATTTCTTCCCTAATGGGAGTGAACTCTTCCTTATGTCTAATTCATTTCTGTGTGATATCTGGGTTTTGCCCTTTGATTATTTGTGTAGTCACATATTGGGGTCCTTGTTATTTTTCCTTTTTATTTTGTATGAGCTCTCTACACTAACCCTCATTCACCACACTTCAAAAGTTTCCCACGTCAGCGGTCTTCATGTCAATTAACGTATTTAAAATGTATGTCTTGTGATTGCTTTATCATTAGTCAATTTTGGAAAATCTTCCTCTGCGGAGATGTGATAAATCCTCAACCCCATTTTCTTTTTTGTTTTTCTTTAGCTTGATTTTCAGAAAGTGCATTCTTTAGAAAATTACAAGTTGGTTGGCTTGTTTATGTACTTATTATTTTAATGTTTTTATTATTTTTTGAGAGAGCGTGCATGCACGTGTGAGGGGCAGAGAGAGAGGGAGACAGAATCTGAAGCAGGCCCCAGCCTCCGCACTGTTAAGCGCAGAGCCCCGATGGAAGGTTTAACTTGTGAACCAGGAGATCATGACCTGAGCCAAAGTCGGATGCTTAACCGACTGAGCCACGAGACACCCCTATTTTTTTTTATGTTTGTTTATTTTGAGAGAGAGAGAGAGAGAGAGAGAGAGAGAGAGAGAGAATCCCAAGCAGGCTGCACGCCATCAGCACAGATCCTGATGTGGGGCTTGAACCCATGAACCCGTGAGATCGTGACCTGAGCCAGAATCGAGGGTCGGACGCTTAACTGACTGAGCCACCCAGGCCCCCCAAGCTGGGTTAAGTGCAGAGCAGTGCTATCAGGCTTTTCAAACAGAAAACGAAGATGCCTATGACAGGAACAAATCTGAAAATAAAATGATAACTCTTCCCTAATTAAGCTATCTATTAATTTTTTTAGTTGGTTTTTAAGTCCCCGTCCCGTGAAACACGGACACAGGCGTGTTAGCGCCGAACCAGGCAGTGTGCGTTTGGCCCGTTGACTTCTGGGCCCGTGTGTCCCCGGCCGGACTCGGCCTCCCATGTCTGCTCTGACACCCACAGATCCCGGAGCTGAAGCGGGACATCAGCATCCCCGACTACTGTTGCCTGGGCGACGGAGACGAAGAAGAGATCACCATTAACGCCTGGTTTGGTCCCCAAGGAACCGTCTCTCCTCTCCATCAGGACCCTCAGCAGAACTTCCTGGTCCAGGTTAGAGTCGCTCCAGAGCATTGGCTTTCTGCCTCCTCCCGGCCCCGCCCTGCACGGGCTGGCCACGTTTTGGGTGTCTAAATGCCCAGAGAGGGATGTGGCAAAAATGAACCGGAGAGATGGCACCAGGCCCCCCGTGGGACCCTCTCTCCGGATGGGGCTGTTTCCACATGCGGTTCCCTGACCAGGAAGGACCCTCTGGGGTCCTGGCCGTGTCACCTGGGCAGAGCAGGGCTGGGCGTCATCTCGGGAGGGATCGAGTGCCTTCCCCCTGCCTGCCCTCCGACAGAACCAGGGTGGTCTCCCTGCGAGCACCTCTGTCCACATGAGAGGCTTCCCGGCCACTGGATGGTGTGTCCGGAGACCCAGACAGAGGAGCATGTGTGTTTCTTGCCAAAGGAGAGGCATCTGTTGTGGAACCACCTGAGTTTTTCTAGGCGGGTAGGTTTAACAAATGAGAACATTCTCCCGGCCCAGAGGCTCTGCCCGGAGATGCTAGAGAGGCTGGGATCCGGGGCCCAGAAGCCGGACTGCTTGGCATCCACGCCAGCCCTGTCACCTGTCAGCTGGGCGAACCTGGGCCACTTGGCTTGCCTCTCTGTGCCTCAGTTTCCCTATCTGTGAAATGGGGTGACGCTGAACCGCCGTGGAGGGTTGTGAGGAATTCAACAAGAGAACACACCTGGAGCAGCTGGAGGGTGGCTGCCACAGGCCGGTGCTTAGTTATCGTCGGCTATGGTCACGGAGTTACTGATTCGTGATCTGTTTGGAGGCTCAACGTGTGCCTGGCCTGGAGCGTGCGTGGGAGGGCTGGGGCATTCTGGGCGCAGGGAACGGCGCGCGGAAAGGCGTGGAGAGGTTCGGGAGGCTGGGGGGTTCAGGGACCTGTGGTCAGTGGGGGCAGCAGCTGACTGACGAGGCACTGTCTCGCAGGTGACGGGGAGGAAGTACATCCGGCTGTATTCGCCGCAGGAGTCAGAGGCTTTATATCCACACGACACGCATCTTCTTCACAACACGAGCCAGGTGGGTACGCAGGGACCCCGGGTGACGCTGCAGCCTCCCCCCTCCCTGCCCTGTCTCTGGAGACCTGGCAAGTGTTTTCTTCAGGTTGACGTGGAGAACCCCGACTTGGAGAAGTTCCCCAAGTTTGCCGAGGCCCCGTTCCTGTCCTGCATCCTGTCTCCCGGAGAGATCCTATTCATCCCGGTGAAATACTGGCATTACGTGCGGGCTCTGGACTTGAGCTTCTCCGTCAGCTTCTGGTGGTCGTAGCCAGGGCGGAAGGGTCTGAGACGCCAACAGCAGTCACGGATTCACGCGTTCCCTGCCCCACGCCCGGCCTGGGGCTGGGTCCCGGCATCTAGAGAGAAGCCAGACCCACCTGTGCCAAAGCCCTCGCCGGGCGCCGGGCTGCGTGCCAGGCGGACGCGGGGCCCGGCAAGGCGCACGTTCCGGCCAGGGATGCGCGGCAGAGGCCGGCGGGCGGGACCCCAGAAGGACGCTCTGCATGGAGACCGTGGGCCTCCTAAAGCCGGATGCGGTTGGGACGCGGGCGGGCAGTGTGGGCAGCGGTACAGGGTGGCTCTGAGGTCGGCTGCCTGGATTCCAACCCAGCCCCGTGGCTTAACCGCGGCGTCAGATTTGGAGCGGAAACCTCGTGGGTGGGTCTCCATCTGGGAAACGGCAGCCCGAGCCCCCACCGCAGAGAATTCCAGGGACGGTGCTGGCGCAGGGCCCCTGCGGGTCCGTGAACGCTCGCTGCTAATAATCACTAGGATTGCCACCTACTTGTTCGTCGTGACTGCGCCACGGCCCGCGGACTGGAGAGGCGGTGCAGGTCACGGGAGGGTCCTCATCGGCTGGCTCAGCTCAGACGGGTTTCGGTTGTCGTCACGGAAGCCTGACCTGCCTGCAGGGGTGCCTGCCTCTCCTAGTCTGCCGAATTTTCAACGCGCACCCTCCCGGTAGCCAGTTCCCCAGTCAAGAAACAGCCATCTGTGGCCCCTGGCGGCCCCCCTCCTGCCCCTCGGTCTCATTCGTTCCTGTCCCGCAGAGAGCCTTCCGCCCGGGAGGCCAGCTCCGCGTCCCTGCAGCGCCGGGGCCCTCAGGCTCAGAGGCCCCAGGGAAGATTCGGGCGGGCCCGGGACCCACGAGTTCCTGGAGCCGGAGCCTGGCCGCCCGGGTTGGGGCTAACACACACCGCAGGTGACCGAGAGGGACAGGGAAGCGTCGGTGGGCAGCCGGAACGCTAGCCGCTCGCGTCCTCTGCCACCAGGCCAGGGCATCGGAGCTTCATCACGTAGGTCCGGGGGCTCGAGTCGAGTGGGACCCTGTCAGAATATGCACGGAGCGGGGGAGGTGTTGGCGGGCAGGGGGTCGGGCACACGCTGACTCCTGCAGGAGGGGGTGTGCGGTCGGGGTGCAGCACTGGGCACGGAGGGCAGAGGCGAAGACGAGCTATTTAGGAAGTGAAATCGAGGGCTCTGTGGGGACTGCTTGCTCCCCTGTCTGGCATCATTAACAGTTATTTGCCAAATTCTGCAGATGAATTAATACCAAATGGCAAAGGTATCGAGGCATAAACTAGGGCTGCCACCGTGTCTGGCTCACTGGCTGTCCGTGAGGAACAGCGGGGGCTTGACTGCATCACTGACACCCCTCCCCACCCGAAGGGCGGCCGTGTGGCTCCAGCGCCTTACCCATGACGGCCGGCCGGCCCCCCGCTTCTGCTCCAGGCTGCTGTTGAGCAGAGGCCCGTCTGTAACGTAGGGATTCTGAAGTTAGGGACGAGGACTTGGGTGTTAAAACACGGTACGGACGCCCGGCCACCTGCAGCGGACGTCCCTTGTCTGGTGGCAAGACGGCAAAAGATAAAACCTTCGCGTGCTCTCCGGGCAAGGCTCCCGGGCTGCCGGCAGCACCAGCCAGGCTAGCAGAGGGCTGCTTCAGCCCCGAGGAACATGGGCGAAGGTCCACTGGGAATGAGTGCTCGCCGGCTGCTGGCACCACCGAGGAGGGGCAGGCACGAGGCCGCGTCACCCACCCATCCACCTGAGACACAGGGACCTGCTCGGGACCCGGTCCCACACAGGCACGCATGGTCTCCGGCCAGATGGGGCCCGCCCTGGCGGTCATGAGGGCCCGGGGGGTCCGGAGAGGAGGGCGACGGTGCAGGTAGTGACGAGTGCCATGAAGGAAACCGAACAGGGTGACGGGGACACGATTTACCGTAGACGACATGTGAATAAGCCAGAATGACCGGGACACCCAAACTGGCAGTGAGGTTTGAGGGGGACCTCCCCGCAGCAGGTGCAGCAGCCCTGGGGCAGGAAGGCCCAGCCCTTGGGGGAGAGGAAGGAGCCGTGCAGGCGGAGCAGAGGGAACTGGGGGCCGGAGGGGGCCTGGTGCAGCCAGCACCGGGACGGACAAGGGCGCCGGGCCAGGGAGACAGGTCTGCGTGCTGTTGTGTGACAAGGGCCGGAAGGGGAGGCCCCAGGAAGCGGGACAGCCGTGAGCATCACCGGTCCAGTGACCGAGCGAGCGGTGTCGGCAGGGAGCTGAGTGAAGACGGGCTGTGCAGGGAGGCGGGCAACGGCCTGATGTCCCAAACCTGGAGCACCAGGCAGGGTCTCGAGAATTGTGCGTGAGGGTTTTGGTAGGAGTCTTCGGGAAGTTCACGTTGGAATCAATGCA